CAGATCAGGTTAATCAGGCAGCAGCTCCGCAGGTTCCCACACAGCACAGGGCATGGAGCCTCAGCCACACCTGGGCAGGGTCAACTCATAGGCTGCGAAGTTAACTCAGTTGCCGTGGCCTCTTTGCCAACAAGCAGCCCATGAAGTCAGCTGTACTGGCGGTCTGTCACGGGGGCACGCGTCTACAGGGAACCCAACCCTGAGACCTGCCAAACACCACACACGCTAACACCTCAATGTCTCCCCCTCCAACCCAGCCCTCGTCCTACCATCCGGTTCGTTGCAGTAGGTTGCTGGGTCTGACTGCAGGGTGTAGAGACGAGCCTGTAAGAGAGCACACGCACGGGACGGCCATTAGCATGAGGGGCAGCGGCTGAGCCCAGTGATAAAGGGGGTCTATCACACACATCCCTGGTGGGAGCTGAGGCGTTTCCCACCGAGCAGGCATTGAGGGGCATTCGGCACCTAAGTTCCCTCTAAACTGCGCGGCCGCGCAGCAGCCCATTAATCGCCACGCAGGTGCTCAGGGCTGCGGTGGGGAGAGATGCCTCTCCTCCAGCCCCGGACCTGCCACAGCCAGGGGAGAGGCTCCTCTCCCGCAGCCCCAACCCAGCGCCGGCCCAGACCTGCCGTGGCCGGGGGAGAGGCACCCCTCCCTGGCCCCAACCCAGTCCTGGCCCTGTCCTCTGCCCCAGCTCTGAGCCCCCTCCTGTACTCCGAAACTCTCGACCCCATCCCCGCCACATGAATTTTGTTATATGCACCAATATGTCACACATCATCTCCATATTGGTGCACATAACAAAATTCATTCCACCCATGCGGAAAAATTAGAGGGAACACTGCTCGGCACATACCTTGGTGCTGTCGTACGGTTCTGTTGTCCCAGAGGGTGTTGCCATCAGTGTTATGACATCGCAGTCGATGGTCTTATCTGGCGAAGGAGCGAACGTATCCGAGATGACACCCAGGAAGTCTGCGAGTCCCTTCTTCACCTTTTCAGTCGTGCCCGAGGAGCCTTCCGTCTTTGCAAAGAGAAAGACAAGGGAATGATCTCAACAACGGTGCCTGAACCGGAGACAGTCCCATGTGGTCTTTTCCAGCATCAGTGTCCCTTTAAAGAGAGACAATTCTCCTTTCCTCAAAGGGTGGTAGTGGGGGATTGTGCAGTCTGGGCTGGCCTGAGATGAGGGGGTGGTGGTGGGTGGGTGGTTAGGTGAGGTGATGGCAACAGATAGGCAGGGAACAAGTCTGGGCTGTGGGATGGGGCAGGTAGGAGTGGCTGGTTTGGGGAGAGGATAGGGAGCTGTGCTGTCATAGTAACAGCTGTGCAGGGCAAAGGTCTCCTTTGGGTCTAGGAAAGAGGAACCCATCTCCAGGCTTATCGCAACACCTAGGCAAAACATACTGTGCCTTTCCTGGTGGCACAGGGGGAAGCTGATTCTAAGCCTCACAACAGCAAAGAGAATGGGGAACCCAAGAGGGCAGGGGAGAAATTAGTTCCATCCAGTCTCCATGCAGGGAATTCAGATCCAACTAGATATCCCACCTTCCTCCCACCCAAATCACACAGTCCCACTCTCAGCTAAGAGCTTCCCCAGCCCCAAGCAAATGGAAATTAGCTGCAGGATTCCCCTTGCAACATCTGCCACTGCTGTGCAGAAACCTGGCCTGTGGCTCCAAAAGGCGCCCCGCCCTGAGAGTCACAAATAGAAAGCAAGAAACTGGCCCTTCTGGGAGCCACAGCATGCACCTGCCCCACTCATCTTGACAACTGTGAATGGGGCACTGACATCAAACAGTCCTGGCAGCCATAACAAGGGAATCACTTAGGGTCATCACAGACACTTTGCACTGGGGAAGGGAGTTCCAATTCAAAGTCCAAGAGCGATGTGAATTCAGGTCACGCTATAAAGGCATTTCCTGAAAGGATAAGTCTGTGTGCTGCCAGAATCCCGTTTGACAGCCAGCTCCACTCTCTTGAATGAGAGCAGGAGGCAGAATCGTGGCTTGCCTGCTCTTACTTACAACCAGTTTCTCCTTGACCACGCTGGCGGTGGCAGCAATAGTGCATGCAGTATCATGCTGCACCACCTGGGTGAACTCAGTCAGGTCCCGCTTCATGAACTCCAATGCTTCCGTGGACTACAAGACAGAGGGACAAAGTATATCAACCTCGGATTCTCACACAGGTCCATCTTCACCCTAGGAATATCTGAGGCATCACAAACCCTGGAGCAACAGAGGCCTCTAACCTGAGGGATTATTCTGTATATGGAGATGACAGGGCTCTCGCAGGTGAGGCCCTACCAACACCACAGAAATAGTCATGTTTACAACACAGCTGGGAAACACAACTATGCCCAAACCACGTTACAACATGTTCCTTTCTTGCCAGTGCGGATAGAAAAAATGATGTTTTAACCCTGGCAGACAATTAGGCTAAAACCTGACTCCTTACTTGTCATGGACACGCCAGCGCACATTCTAACAGCAATGCTGTAATCACGTTTCCAGACTGCTTAGAGGTGATCGATGCCATAGTGCCGACAGGCCTTAATAAAAGCTGTCCCTAGTGCACAGATCTACAGGGATAACTTTAGACGTAGCAAAGCGATTGGATTATTTTTTATACACACTTTCTTGGCTCCTTTATTGTTCCAATAGCCTTTGAACGAAAGCTGCAAATATATGGATGAGTCATGTTGCCTAGTTTCAATCTTAGTGTGGCTGAACTTCTCAGTCTCACGCCTTTGTGAATTGCGATGGGGGGGGAGGGGGACCAGTATGCTCTAGGCATTCTTCTTCCCACTGCCTGCAGTACAAGAGGCCTTTCCAAAGTGCAGATCTAGAACTCCAATGTAGTTCAAGCTTGCAAGTGGCTTTTCACATCTCACACCTGAGGTTAGGGTTAGGGTTTCTGTTTGAATAAGTTAAGACTTTCCAGTAAACAGATTTCCCCAAGAATAGTTGGTAACATAGAAGTAATGAACTGAACCCTTATTAGAGCAATAACACTTTACATTTACACAGGACTCTCCATGCCAAAGGATCCCAAAGCGTCTCATAACATCAAGCTCTGGGGGGGAACTGCAGCAACTGACCAGTACAGGGCATCTCACACAATGTGGTTAAGAAGGGAAATTTTGGCTAAAGCTGTTGTCCAACGGCTCCTTTTAGGTTAAGTGCCACTAGATAATTCATATCTTTGCAGAGCAGCCACACTCTGCTATCAGGGGCTCAACCAACATTTCACAGCTTACTTTCTACTAATCGTAAGTGACAGAATAAAGTTCTGCACTGCAATACTGCTGCCTTACCCCAGAGCTGCACAGTTGCTTAAGAAGTGCATTTTTAGAAAGCAACAGAGAGCATGTAGGCAGATTGAAGATAATACCTACATCATGGCTAATGCCCAGTTTATGTTAAACAGCAAGCTACAATCCATCGGGAGAAAAGAGCATTCACAGAATGACTCAGCCCTATAGGTTACTTTAAAAGATAATGTAGAAATCAGGAAGAATTTCCAAAGGGAAGAGGATTACACAGCAAAACAGAAAACACCCTAAGAGAGGCTCCTTACTAGGCCTGGTCTGCTCAGGTTACAGAAGAACCCACAAGAAGAGTGAGAAATCCAAGTAAATGATTGTGGTTTTCCTATGGGAAGATGCAAGATTTCCTTAAGCAATAGCTTGTCCTGTTCCATACAAGCAACCTCCTACCTTCTCTTTAACAGTCTGGTAGCTTTGCTGCAACCAGCTTCTCCACCAGCCTCCATCTTCCCTGTTACAGGATAAACATATGAAGCTGAAATTGTGAATTTCACATTATAAACTCACACCAAGGAGTCCATGAAAACATACATACATAATACCCCATCATGTGAATGAGCTACAGCCACCGCTTCTCTGTGTTCAAACCCTTTGGGCCTTCAGAGAACCTACCCCTTCCACCCAGCAAATCTCCTTTCAAAGGTTTAAGCTCCAAAACGATTGCAATTAAATGCAAACTATCCCTGCAGCATTTCCAGCCCACACATTGCACCCCTAGGCTGTGACACAAGACCCACAGTATGAACCAAGCCATCTCCATTGACTTGCAGAGTAAACCCAATCCCAAAAGGAAACAGGGAAATTAGAGGGGTCAGTCCCCCTTAGTTTAATTATCTCAGTGAGAGTCAGTAACAGTGAGGAGGGCAGGCTTGATTGGTTTTTAAACTATAGGATTTTAACCAGACCATATTTCTAAGTCTCTCCTGTTCACAACCCCCATCACAAGACACACTCTCCATTTTCCCGATGGTTTCTGCCACACCATAATACTCTTCCCCCTATACAGCCAAATTCCCTGCTACCTTCAACCCAACCCACCAACCCCACCCAGCGAGCTCCCTTCCCACCCCCTCTTTCCCCCACCCAGCCCCCTTCCCACCTCCTCTGCCTTCCCACCACCACCCTCTGCCCTCCACCCCACCCACCCCTTCGTGCCCCCCACCAGCCCCCTTCCCACCACCACTACTACCCTCTGCCCTCCAACCCCACCCACCCCTTCGTGCCCCCCCACCCAGCCAACCTTCCCACCACCACCACCCTCCTCTGCCCCCAACCCCACCCAGCCCCCTTCCCACCACTACCCTCTGCCCCCAACCCCACCCAGCCAGCTCCTTTCCCACCCCCCTTGCCTCCCAACCTCACACAACCAGACCCCTTCCCACCCCCCTCTCCTCCCTTCCCCGTACAGACCCAATCCCTTCCCACCCCGCCCCCTCTGCCCCCCACCCGGCCAGCTCCCTTCCCGCCCCTCCCGCACTAGGGCGCCCCCCTCAGATCCCTTCCCCCACCGCCAAGGCACCGCCCCCCGCTCTGCGTTACTCTCACCCTTCCGCCATTTTGGACGCCTGACGTCACCAATATTTACTGACCTTTGACGCCAGAAGCCCCGCCTCCTGGGCGGGCTATTTTTAGTCACAGCCCAGTGGGGGCGGGTCACGGGACCCGCACCGCAGCGGTAACGTCACTTCCTTTTTCACGGGGGGCTCGGCTCGGCATGGCATGGGTACGGTGGCTGCTGAGGGTCAAGAGAGATCGAGCGCTCAATATTAGCCACCACCAACCCGGGAGCTAGAGCCTGGGGCCCGGCCTGTGACCCCCGCCCGGCCGCCCCAGGGAGGTGGGGCCCCTGGTCCCCAGCGCCCACCTATGGCTGGGGCCGCCCGGTGCTGTAGCGGGGGGTAGGGAGCGTCTCCCTGCTGGCCCTGAGCGCCCAGCCCCACGCCGGGCGCTGCCCCGGGGTCCCCCTCTCCACCCCGCTGGGGCTCCCCGGCCCGGGCCCCCGCACAGCGCTGCGCCGAGCCCTCGTGGCGGGGAGCCCCTGGCGCTGCGGAACCCCCTGCTGCGGGACCCCGCGCGGATCCGCTTCTGGGGGTGTTGCCTGGTTTGTTCCCATCACAGACAGCCCCGGGGGTCCCCGCAGAGGTGGGGTAACGCTCAGTCTCCTGCCTTGGCCAGGCTGGTTTCTCAAGCCGTTCCCTAGGGGAATCCCGTCTCGTGGGAAAACAGCCTTAGGTGCCGGTCTTGTTTGGTACCCCGCTTAATATCTCCCCCTCTCGGGGCTGACTGCTGTTTCTTCTAACATCAGGACCCTGCTTTTGCCTGTTAATTGTCCCACCTGGCAGTGTCCACCTGTCTCCCCTACATCTGGGCTTAAAGGGAAAGGGCTCAGGTATTCCTACCATCTGCTTCCGAAGAGCTCTGTATAAATTGGTTATCTTGTCTCTGTCACCAACAGCAGTTGGCCCAATAAAAGAGATTACCTCACCCGCCTTATCTCTCTAGTTTGCTTAACAGTAATATAACTTTATCTAGGCCATAATTACTGGTAGAGTGAAGTTGATCTGTCACAGCATCATCTAGGACTCCGGCAGTGTGAGATTTCTTTCAGCAGCGGCCTCTGCCAGGCAGCTAGGGCCTCAGCCGAGTGTGCGTCCTCTGAGCAGTGACAGCTATGATCCCAGCGATGGGAGCGTCCTTGCAGCAGCAAGCTGCCAAAATCAACAAGGAATCCGGCAGCATGAGCTTCCCCACAGGAACTAGCCTGCCAGAGGTCGTTAGGATGGTGGTGGTGATAATTGTGTTGTTTCTACCCTACAGCTTTCTGCTCTCTCTCTTTGCTGCAGGCAAACCTCATGTTCCATCTTCCCTCAGGGGAATGACTTCAATGGCCGTGCTTCTGTGTCAGCAAGAGCACAGCTGTGGTCCTAATCATTAGCTCAGAAGCACAACCTTGAGTGAAAAGAAAGTCCTAGAAAAACCACCCCCGACAGTGAGGCTGTGATGAAGACAAATCTCCCAGCACCCACAAAATGTTTGATTCACTAAATACTCCTTTTCAGTGCATCCTCATGAAGGGCCTAATGTCTGATCCTGAAGTGCTGAGCGCGGGAGTTGGGGTGTTTGTGGTCTCAGGATCTGGCTTTTGGTTTCAGCTTACAAGTGAATTTTTGCATCCTGTACTTATGGACACTTGGGATCTTAGGCTAGGAATGAGAGAGAGAGAAAAGGGAGACGGATGGTGCTTCATAAACATTTCTATTGCAGTGGTGATTGGACCAATTTTGCTGTGACCTATTGGCTATTCTCTGGTTGCTTCAATATTGTGCCCAGTGGAAATGGCTCTGTGGTCACTGTGTCCAGAAAGCCCCCTTGCTGTGTTCTCATCACCTGGGCAAAACTGTCCAATGGCATTCTCACACACATACATACTTTGTTGAGTTCAGCTGCAGTAGCCTGCAAGGGTTAAGAACATAAGTGGGTTTTTTTTCACTTATGTTCTTAAGAGTTGGGACCAAGTCTTTTAACTTTGTGCCCCAAGATGGAACAGTCTGAGGCAGCATAAAATGGAAGAATGATGGTCATATTGAGCTGGGGGAAAAAAACCTCCTCTGCAAAATATGAAGACCGGATGTATCTTGCCCTCCCCTCAAATGTTGTGAAGCAGCATCCCAGGTTTTCTCAAAAAGAAAAAGGATACTTTAAATAGCTCATCTCCATTGGGTTCTCTTTTTCACACACTGTCCTGGCACCAGAAAAGCAGCAAAGAGGGCCAGGGAATCTACAGAGCACACTGCAAAATGCCCCTACATACAGTATACGTTCATCCCCAGCTGCTCCTTCATAGGCACCAGTTTACACACATACACACACATTGGAAAGGTTACTAACTCAGTTCTATGTGTCCGTCACAATTGCTGGCTGCATTTACAACTGTCTCGCAACACCACAAATAACCGAACAAAACTAAGAAAGGCCAGTTTAGGAAAGAATTCCTTCCTCCCCCCAACTTGCAAAGGAACCCACCTGAGCCAGGGCAAGCCTGAGCAAACAGGTAAGTCCTGCAACATACCCTGCAGGTCAACAAATTAGCTCTGTCAAAGCAATGGAGGAATTGGATTCCAGAGCCAAGGCCACTCACCCCACTGATAAAGCCCTTCTTCCAGCCCCCCGAAAGGAATTCAGACCTGGGGACTGCTAGTAATATGTCCCAGCTGATTTCAGGTGGTGGGATGATGCATAAGGAGCAAGGCTGTCCTGTGCTGGTAACAGAGGAGAACATGTTCACATTTGTGCTCCCTCTCTGTCTATATTCATGTGTGCACACACCCCGCTCCAGAGGGAATGCCTCATGCAGAACAGGAGACATGCTTGGCTATTAAATGGCCAATGAATTCATGCCATCTGCTTCAGATTACTAGCTGAGTGACAGCTTCACATGGGTCAGTGACTCTCATTATCCCAACAAGAGGCTGCCATGTGCCTGCATGTCAGGAATTGTGCTTAATTTTTTACACTGCTGATTAACTAGCGATTTCATCCTCTGCCCATCTGGGTGAATTTAGGGGGGATGGGGACTAGTTCACTGGACGTTTGGGGAAATGTTGAATGCTGGATTGCACAATGTTTGTGTTTCAAAGACCATGTGGTGCTATTAGATGCTGGCAGATTCCCAGGGGCTGTGCTCTTTATCATGCAACTTATAAGTCATTCCTGCTACAGTCTCCCCCCCCATCCAGATCCTAAAGCTGGTGAGGACTGAGTGTTCATTTTACTGTAAAAACTGAGCGTGTTTATCCCAGAACCTTGCTATGCTGGGGCATCATGTCTCCTTGTTTTTCTTCTCTCATGGGATGATTCTGGAGAGGTGACTAGGAGATGCAAAGGAACCAGGTGACATCTGAATTGCTGAGTCCGCAAAGGGGCCTTTAGGCCATCCCTCCCAGCTGCCACCGTTGGCTTTTGCTTTTCAGGCTCACTCGCGTGATTTATTAAAGAGCCGTGGTTTACAAAAGGAGGCAGGCGTCCATGTGCACACTATCAAAACCAGTCCATAAATTTCCCTTTTAACAGCTTTTGTTCTGGAGACATCAGTCCCTTGGCTGGCCTAGGGCTCGTTAATAAAAATGAAGCCTTTTTGGAAACAGTTGTTGCTTGTATGATACATGAGCCCTGCAAATAACCATTGTCCCCAGTCCATCATTAGCAGGTTTTTCCTCTTTCCTTCCCACCCCCAACCATTGAGTTGAAGCAGAAGTCTCTGTAATCAAGGCATGAAGTTTGGTCAGTTCTCAAAACCAGCTATTCCAGCACTAGCTAGATTTTTTTTCCAGGCAAATGAGGTCCTGAGCTCAGGGATATGGCAGTGACCTGAAGAATCTGAAGTAAAGATAAAATTAATAGTAATTAAAAGACATGCTTTTTTTGCTATAACTTCTATATCTTGGCCAAGATAGAAGAAACCCCAGAGGCTCTCTGGAACTGTTTTTATTCTTCTGTCCTGTATAGCACTGAATATGTTGGCACTTAAACAACCAATAATCCAATACCGGGTTTGGGTGGCTGACTGACTCAGGAAATAGATAAATTGGCTAGGGAGTCTCCTCTTCTAGGATGCTGGTCTGAAGACAGTATATGTCAATAGTTACTGAGTTATTACCAGCTGTTGGCTGTTTGGTGGATCTGTGCCGGAATGAGTCGGGTCTCAGAACCATTGCTAGTGGACATGTGCTCACGACCGCCACAGAGATTGATTCACAGATTTCAAGGCCAGAAGGGACCATTCTGATCAGCTAGTCTGACTGCCTGTAGAACACAACCATAGAACAGTCCCAAAATAATTCCTAGAGCAGGTCTTTTAGAAAAACATCCAGTCTTGATTTAAAAATTGCCAGTGATGGAGAATCCATCACGACCCTTGGTAAATTGTTCCAACGGTTAATTACCCTCACTGTTAAAAATGTATGTCTTATTTCCAATCTGAATTTATCTAATTTCAACTTCCAGTTATTATACCTTTTTTTCTACTAGATTGAAGAGTCCATTATCACAAACTTGTTCCCCATGTAAGTATTTATAGACTGTGATCAAGTCACTCTTAACCTTCTCTTTGTTAAAATGAATACATTGAGCTTCTTGAGTTTATCTTTAGAAGGCATGTTTTCTAATCCTTTAATCATTTTTGTGGCTCCTCTCTGAACCAATTTATCATCATCCTTCTTGACTTGTGGACACTAGAACTGCTGGACGTAATATTTCTGCAACAGTTGCACCGGTGCCAAACACACAGGTAAAATAACCTCTCTATTCCTACTTGAGATTCCTGTTTATGCATCCAAGGATATCATTAACCCATTTGGCCACAGCATCACACTGAGATCTCATGTTCACCATGATTTCCCTCCCCCCAAATCATTTTCAGAATTACTGCTTCCCAGGATAGAGTCCTGCCCTGTGTAACTATGGCCTACATTCTTTGTTCCTAGATGTATACCTTTATATTTAACCTTATTAAAACATACATTGCGTGCGCCCTGTTTATCAACCGATCCAGATTGCTCTGAATCAGCGATCTGTCCCCTTCATTAGTTACCATTCCCCCAAATGAGAACCCTTGTTGTCATTCTCAGGGACAAGAATTGAATGGGCCATGAAGAAAAATTCCATTTCACCTCTATTGGCAATCCTTCCATTGCAGAATGAAAGCACATTAGTGGGACAGTCTGAAGAACCGCATGAAGGAAGCCTGCTCAGTTGCTGCGTATGTTGTAGCTGACAGCTCAGCACCTATCATCTTCAGTATATTAAAAATAAGGAAATAAATCTGTGGAGCCTTTCCCCTAGTTACCTTTGACTATTGTATTTTTCTCCATGACACAGCAGGAGCAAATACAGTTGTTTGTTTTTTAAACTACATATTTTATTGGTTGAGTTATGAAAAATCCCATTGAGAAGCCTAGATGAGATGACAGCATCTGGCCTTCTCCCCAAACTTCTGTGGCCTTCTCCCCAGAAACTTGTGCTCCACCCAACGAACTGGAATCTGGTGACAATATCATAGGACTGTGCTATCTAGAGGAGAAGGAGTCTAGTCACAGAGATAATCCCACATTACTCCTTCTCAGATGCAGTGTGTGGCATCTGTTTGGGCTTCTAAGGAAGACACTCATATCCTCATGGATCAGACAAACTAAGCACCAGGGATAATGGTGGGGTAGGGAAGCCAGAGTAAAGTGGAGAATAGCTGGACACCACAATGAAAGTCAGAGAAAACCCATCAAACCTGATCTAAAGGATATGTTAAGACACCCCCTTGGCTATTAGCATTTGAGTGGGAGAACTATCATGGACTCTAAGGGCATTGGAAATGGCTGCAAAACAAAGATTTACATAGTGTTGTATATATTTGCCAGGAGTGATTTGAACACCAGTATAATTCCTCCTAGCCCACTCCTACCCCGACACCTACGCATTTCCAAAAATGTGTTAAATCAGAAATGCCCCCACAGTGTTCAAATTCTGCCTTAATTTCACCAGACTTCTCCCTTCTCTGTACTCCATGGAGACCCCTCCTGCAACAACAGTACTGCAGTGTTGTACAGTAGTAGCACAAAACACTAGTGTAAAGTGTGGTGATTTGGATCATTAGCGTTGAATGCAGCAGTATTTTAAAATCACTCTCTCTTCGGTGATATATGAACGGGAGACAGTAAGTGGGAAAAGGCCTTATGGCCATCTTATGTTATGATACTTTTATATCTCATGCAATGCTGGGTTGGCCTAAGTAAGTGGTATTCTGATGTTTATTATAGTAGTATGTAATAGTGAGAACTGTCTAGTTTTGCAGGATTTGGTGCTAGTGATTCAACAGGAAGCATTGTTTCCTTTGAGTAAGTATTAAACCAATGGCCCAGAACAGCATCAAGGGCCCTGCTGGAGGAACTGTCTTTACAGATGAAATGTAAAACTGCTATCCTGTAATCCCGTTTCTGCAAGAGTAGGAGTGTTTAATCCCAGTACCCTGGTCAAATTCTAGATCAAGCAATTACTGTCTGCTTCCCTGAATCCCCCTGTAACTTCACATGGCTAACTCCTGCACTTCCTGCTTTAATCTGTCATGTAGAGCTCCTGTTCAGTGTTAAACACCTTGCTTGTTCTACCCCAGAGATGGCTGAATTTCAGAGGTGGGTGCAAGGTATGCATAGTTTATATATTTTTGTAAAGTGGTTTGAGGTCTTCAGGATGAAAGGTGCTACAGAAATATAACAGATGATTATATGATGCATGTACAGGAGTTAGAATTGAATCATCAGGGTGTTTTGTGAGCATTTCAGGAGATGATTAGAGGGTCCCAAAGTGAAGCTGAGCATATCTCAATGAGATACTCTGTCAGGCAATTCCAAGGGCCTTTTCAGCAGCATGTAATTAGACTGCAAAGCCATTTTTATAAAGAAAATAGTTATCGTGTGAAGGAAGGTATTTAGTTGACAGTTTTTTTTTTAATTATTTAACCCTTTCTTCTCCGATTCCTAAGAAGCTTAAATGCATTTTCAGGAGGCATCTTATATTGACCCCTTTGATTGATAGGAGAGCCGTAATTCTACAGCGCCTCACAGAAACGGGACACCTCTCCAGACCTGTAGCTGAGTATCTGTATTTAATGGAAAGTGCTTCAGATTTATGCCACTCCTAAAATTCCCTTGGTTACAGTGCCCTGAGTTTGGGCTGTGGATTTGAAGGCCTTAGCAATCCTAGAAAAGTTTGCTGGTATAGCTATATCGGTATAGCTGTATTGGCAACCCCACGTAGTATAGACACTGTTTATACCGGCATATGCTTCTGCCGGCATAGTTTATACCAGTTGCCCAAGAGACATAAGCTATACTGCCAAAAGGACTTTTATGCTGGTATAAGGGCATCCACTAGGGTGACCAGATGTCCCGATTTTATAGGAAAAGTCCTGATTTTTGGGTCTTGTTCTTATATAGGCTCCTATTACCCCCCACCCCATCCCGATTTTTCACACTTGCTGTCTGGTCACCATAGCATCTACACTATCCTGGCATAGCTTTATTGTTAAAAAAAATCACACTCCTAACCATTATGGCTACACTGGTATAAGTCTTACGTGTTGACTAGGTCCTAATATGTTTCTAACATGGTTGCTAGCTGCAATCCTGATCCGAAATCTTCTTCTGAACATGTCAGGTGTATTGTAAAAGTCAAAGTAGATCAGTACTTCTGCCCACCAAAGTTTTTGAAAATTAAACAAATATTTACTATTTAAATACCTGTAGCCAGAAGGCATAAATCATCACATCATGGAGTCTGTCTATCTAGGTCAGTGGGTCTCAAACTTTTGTACTGGTGACCCCTTTCACATCGCAAGCCTCTGAGTGTGACCCCCTAATAAATGAAACACCCTTTTAAATATATTTAACACCATTATAAATGCTGGAGGCAAGCGGGGTTTGGGGTGGAGGTTGACAGCTCGTGACCCCCCCCCATGTAATGACCTCGTGACTCCCTGAGGGGTTCCGACCCCCAGTTTGAGAACCCCTGATCTAGGTACTATATGCCCATCAGTGAGGTATCTGACCACCTGTCCTGACACCATAAGAGTTCATATACTGTCTGAGCTCCAGAATACTTACTGCCCCAGGCCCATACCCTTGTACCCAGCCCTAAGTGTTAAGACACAGCAATTGTCTTATGACAATTGTCTATGACACAGCAATTACTTGCTCCCTGGATTACAGAACCCTGCATGCAAGGGACACATGTATACAGTGCTAGCACATCAAAGGACTTGACCTGAAAGATAAGCATCAGGAAACAAGAAGAGTTTGAAAGACTGTGGAAAATCCCTTAATATTCAAGAAAGTCTACATTTCTCCGTGTGACTCTGAGCCAAAGAACACTGAACTGTAGCTCCCCTGTTTTTTGTGAAGTTCCCTAACACTGAAATAATTTTAGTTTTGTCTGAGTGCTTGAAAAAAATGCACCTTAGAATGGAAACTCTTCTTGGCCGGGAATCAGTTCTTTGCATGGCATATTTACAATGAAATATAAACACTAAAAACATTATCAACAAGTAGTAATTCTTCAAGATGAGCTAAAGTGGGATCGGGAGGTGCTTGGATATCTGTCAGATTCATTTGCCCTGTGTTTGATTTTAGGGTTATTTTAACAGCTGTCATAAGCAATCATGGAGTAAAAGCATTTAGTAGACCCTTCAGGACTGTTTAAATTAAATCTAATATAAATTCCCAAGGCTTCTCTATGGGAAACTTTGGGCTAATTGGTTTCACTTTCTTCCAAACCGTTCAGCTCCTTTTCTCTCTTATCCCAGCCTATCCGCCCCATTCTTCTCTCTCTCAATGAAACATTTTCTCCCAGCCCAAATGAAACTAAGGCACTTTCAAAATAGGAGACCGGTTGGCCAGATCCATTGACTAAGATGACCTATGTTTATTTTCAGTAAAAATGAAATTCCAGGTACGTTGCATCACAACAGCTACTCAAGAAAGGCAAAGCTACATGTCACAACGGAATGGCACCTGACTCCAACTCTCGTCTCGCCAGCCTTGGGAACTGTCCTAGGATTCCTGCTGCCGGCAGAGCAGCGGGAGGGAGACACCGGGATCAAACAACCGATGACAAACGAACAAGGAGGTTTGGCTACAGAGCATGTCAGAGAGTCTTGTGGGGATAAGTGTCAGTTCCACGATCAGGAGGAGACTGGCGCGGTTTGGAAATGGAAGGACAGCGCTATGCCCCCCTCTCCTTCTCAGAGCAGTAGCAGTCCGGCACAGCTGTTTGCGTTGGGTCTCTTGTGTGGCCCGGGGAAGACTCTGGCTTCACTTGCTGGCCCGGAGGCAGGACGGGGCGGCTGCCGTTCTTGGCAGCTCCTGGGGCCCGGCCTGGCATAAGGAGCAGAGGCAGGGCAAGCCGGAGTAGTGTCTGTAAAAGGGGCCCAGGGGCCCCGCTGCCGTGCGGTGAGTCTCTTGCGGAGCCGCTCGGAAGCCCAGGTACCCAGCCGCGGCCGCCACGGAGCAGGCGGAGGGCGAGGGGGGCAGGCTCTGCGCCCCGGCGGCGGGGGGCATGGGGCGGACCTGGGCAAGCGGGTGGCTGCGGGGCGCTGCGTGGAGCTCGCTCAGCAGCCGCCTCATCTCCTGCAGGGAGCCGCTCAGCGTGAGGATGTAGTTGCGGGCCAGCAGCAAGGTGGCGAGCTTGGAGAGCTTGCGCACCGCCGGCCCCTGCGCGTAGGGCATCACTTCCCGCAGGCCGTCCAGCGCCTGGTTCAGGTCGTGCATCCGCCGGCGCTCGCGGCTGTTCACCTTCAGCCGCTGCTCCTGCTGCGGGTCGTCCGACTGCCCCGTCCGGCTGCCCCGCAGCTTCCCCCCGGCCCCGGGCCCGGGCTGGGGAGCCGCCGGCTCGCGGCAGAAGGCTTCGAACAGGAGCTCGGGGCTGCCCGCTTCCTCCAGCTCCGGGGTCGAGGCTCTGCTGGAGGGGGAGGCCACATCGGAATCCATGGAGCAGCCAGAGGTGCCTGCCACCTGCTTCCCCCCCAGCAGCCCCACTGCCCGGCGCAACCACCGGGGGCCGAGTGCCCTGGGTCGGAGACAAACTTCCCTGCCTCCCCGTCCCCCTCGTGGGCTGGGCGAGTGTCGTGGGCTCCCTGCAGGGCCGGTGATTTATACACAGCCCCCGTCACAAAGGGAACAATGACGCCCAATCACCAAAGAGATTCGGCCCCTAAGGCGGCTACCGGGCCGCCACTTCCCCCCGTTACCACCCCCGCTGCTGACTCTCTGCAGCGGAGGGCTCTGAT